GTTCGCAATTTACCTCTGGCCACCCTAAAGACACGCGGCATGTGAAAAATGGGTAACGTGATCCCTCTACTAAGCCCGAGGAAACGATCCAGTAAAGGATAGTCATAACGGGCGACATCTCTGTTCTCCCCAATAGTCAATGGTCTCAACCGAGGCTGGCCGTGGCATTAACTGTCCTGGTACTGGCTTTTCACACTGTCAATCATCTAGTTTTACTAACAAACATTGAGATGTACTCATTACCGCTCGGATTGAAGACGTGGACCATGGGATACCTAATTGGTAGAATTTGGAGGTCAAGCATTCAATTTCAGAAAGATAATATCCTCTCCCCACTGTTGTTTGACTTTCATGGGTCGAAACTCCTTCCTCCAACGGAACAGGTTTCAGTGATCTATTATGCCGATGATATTCGATATTGGCGTCTGGCCAGGGTATTGATGACTTATGTTCAAAAGTGAACTACTATCTCGGCGACCTTCTCCACTTTTTCACTGCTAGGCACTTACGACTACAACTAGAAAAATCCTCGACCACCAGCTGGACGAAGCAGTAGCGACTCAAACTCCATGTGAAAATACCAACAATAAACTACCCGAATTTTTAGGAGTCACATTCGCAGCATGTACTCCTTTATTCCGCTCCCCAGCAGCAACAAGATCTTTGAAGCATTAGCAAGTAGCTTCTAGGAAAAAGGCAAAGCAACGTTGCTGATAACCTAGAATTGATTTAGCCGGTCTGTCGTAAACTATACTGCTCCTATCTGGACGCCGGTTATTAGCTAGACGCAGATGAAAAAGTTAGAAGCATACCAAAGAACCGCCGTCAGAGTGGTGACAGTAAACCTCCTGATGTCGCCATAGAGAAGCATCTATGCTACGGGCTACAGAGTATAATGCTCCCCACTGTGCATCCCAACAGACACCAACTAGAAGCCGAGCCACCACCTAGGCACATCAGAATGGGAGTACTCAACCTTAAGGACATTATACGCAGGACTGGATGGTTTATTGGCAGGACATTCGCTGAAAATCAACACCTTCCTGTGCTCTCTTCAAATGAATGGTATTCTCGGAGACAAACCAACATCTAATGCAGACGAAGAACTCGAAATGCCTCGAGAATCCCGCGTAATACTGCCGCAACTTAGATTGGATATTTTAGTTGACCAAACTCCCACCTGCCCAGACTTGACCGCGACATACCCTTTCTACTGGTCTGAACCTATCGAAACGGCTCGTTGTCTGGTCCTCCCATTAGATGACCTCGATGACTTCTACTGACGTAGCCTACTCGCTAACTGCTACAAGAACAGCAACAACCATTCACGGCGAAGAGAGTTTGCTGAGTGGATTATTGAGCATCCACAAATGGATGTAGATTTTCAGAGCAAAATAATCCTAGGTGTCGGAGCATATTTTCCCCTTGATGGCCTTGTTAATCGCCAAAAAGACAAGACAAATGCAAGCGCACTGTCGTACGTGTCACTGTTTGGTGAGGATTGTTGGCTGGATGCATAATTGGACTTTACTTTTTGAAAATGAGGCTGTCAAAGTAGTGCCTAAGACTAGACTAATGAGTGGTTCCAACAAGACGAGTGACACCGTCACACAGACAAGTAAAACACTTCCTTAACTGCATGAGACATTTCCACGTAGTGTACTCTCTCGTTCTAGTGATCAGAATTGGCCTCTGGATACTGTGGCTTAAAACCATTAGATTTCTTTTTATGAGGTTATTAAAAGCCAGAGGTCTATTACACAACTAAGCATATTTTAAAAGACGAGATTCAGCCACATTTATGCAGAATAATCAAGGAAATTTTCAACAAATGTAGGTCCATATTCTTCTGCTTTCATAAATTTTAGGCCCCCAAAATAATTGATTAATCAATTATTGATTCACAAGATCTGGAAAATCCAGCGAATATGACGATTTTCCAAAATAATTTTTTTCTGCAAAAAGTATTAGATTTTCTGAGACCAAAAATAGTTGATATGATCGTCCAAAGAACAACTTATTCAACACTTTCTGTAGAATTTCTAAAAGAATGTATCCTTCTGAGCAGTTGGTGGGATACTTAAGTCTCAGTTATAATTTTTGGACAATCGCAAAGTCGCCCGACAATAATATCAATTACAACATATCACATCAACAGATCAAGATTTCACTATAACAACAACATATTGTACATATGTATTGTACATCACACATGTATTTCTAATAGCCGATTGTGTAAATATCTAGCCAAAGACCAAAAAAACAGACTTGCTAAGTTCACCGCAGTAGCGTCAGGTAGCTGGGAGGCAACTTAGCTTGGTCTCACTGCCTCTCTTAGATATTAGGGGATCGCTAAGGCCTGCTACTTTCACTACATTTATATTCGATCAGGTATTTAGAGGGGGTGGGATATTATTTCCCCATGGGAAGATCAAGGTGAGGTGCTACTTCCGTTCTTTTACCGCGGCCGTGGTAGCCGAGTGGTTAGCACTGTGTACTGCCATTCGGAAGGCTTGGGTTGAGATCCCCGTACGACCAACATCCAAAAGTTATACAAAATTAATTTAAAAAAAAAATGAATTTAAATTTTTTTATTGCGGTCGCCTATCAGCATCGAATGTCAACCTCTCCGAGTGTATTACTGGCATGAAATAAAAAGCTCCTTATAAAAAATGATCTGCCATTCGGAGGCGCCTTAGTATAAACTGTAGGTCCCTCCATTTGTTGGAAAAAACATCAAGACGCAAACACACAGCTTGGAGGAGGAGCTCGGTGGAAATTCGCTTCAGCGGTTACAAAGCGCCAATTATATATATATACAATTACTTAGGGGCAGCGAAAATTTAATCCCCTCTGTGAGGGTAGCTGCCAGGTATTAAATCTAGTAGTAGGATATTCATGACAGTTGTAAACGAACTCCTTATTTGCTCAGTATTTTTCGTAGGATTGGGGCAACTGGTGAGAGAATCTCAGCAAATACTCCACAGTTCATCATCAGTTCCAAAGTCAGTTAGTTTTAAAAATTCTACATAATAATTGTTCACAATCATCCCATACAGTTTTAAGGTTCGCTGTTTAGTGGACGCAACAGCGGCCCTGTGCCTTGAGCATTCATTTAAGTAAAGTTTTCAATAAGCTCTGTTGGTAGTCAATTAATGGCGTTAGGCAAAATGAGATTACACTTGAGCTGGGGAACTTTCCCCATGTATATCCTTGCACTGAATGGCCTATATGAACTATGTAAGAAGTAGTAGTAGTGGTTGTAGGAGAGTCCTCCTGACAAAGCGATGAAGGCTTCTTTCCACCTTATTGATGAGTATGCTATGCTGATATGACGGCAGAACAAGTTCAACTGGTTCCACTCTAAACTAGCTATCTTAGTCCCCTTACTACTCTAGAATGAAACTAATTTGTTATAGAAGAGAATTAACAGAAGAGAAGCAAATTCAGAAGAGGTAAGCTATATTGTTTTCGTGAAGACCACTCTTTGTTCAATTGAAAACCGTTATTTTTCAAATTTTATGTGCACTCTGTAACCGCTGAAGCAATTTTTGTCCGAGCTTCCCCTCAAATTTGTGGTATGCGTCTTGTTGTTCTTCCAACAGTTTACTTCACCACCTCCAATTAGCTGATGGATATTAATAAACAGCTGTGATTTACCTGTCATAAATACACTCGGAGGCTCCACATTCCAGTTCGTGGAGCGACTGTGACATGAAAAATTATTTTTTCTGCCATTTCCAATGTTGGTTGCACCAGAACTCGAACTCAGGCCTTCAGAATGGCAGTACGCAATGCTAACTACTTGGCTATTGCTGCCGCCAGCATTCTCTGCTCAGCAGACTGTAGGATCAAGCCACTACCTAAAACCACTAATCGTAGAAGAGTGAGAACGATCTATTTGAAAAACTCGAATTCAAATTTAAAACATCTTTAAATAGTTTTTTGCCTTCACTGATATGGTAAGCGCTTCTCATTCCGGAAAGTGGACCCCCGGTATCGACGTATTCGAAAATTTTTCATTTTTACTTTGACATATATAAAATTTGGTACAGAGATTGCTCTGGGCCTAAATTAATATGGGGAACAGTTTTTCTTCCAGAAATCATAGTTATGGTTCGAGCATTTCATATTTATTAACTTCTCTTATTTTTCGGTAACTGGGCCTTCAATCGATTCGATTGCATGATTTTCTGGATTTTATGGACCAGAAAGTTTTCGGAAATCGTTTCTTATTTTTTTTTCGATACTCGTGGTTTAGTTTACCATGGATACGTTCCAACACAACAGACGGTGAATACAGAGTATTATTCGAGCGTTTTTAGGCATTTGCGCTAAAACATCCATCGTAAACGTCCGGAAATTTTCATGAGGATAATGCGCCATACTCCGAGCTGTAGTTTTAAACGATTTTTAGACCGAAAACTCTACAATACCATCGTATTGTACTCACCGGATTTAGCCCCATACGACTTTTTCCTGTTGTTTCCAAAACTCAAGTTACCACCCTGCGAAACCTATTTAGGCTCGGGCAGTTTGATTGACAATATTCCGAAACTTTGCGGTCTTAATTTTTATGGCTCATGGTTTGCTTGAGATCTTTAAAATAGAAAGCTCTTTGCCTAGAATAATATGTGGAAAACTCTTCTTTTTTCTCGTATGTTTTAGTCTAACAGTTAAAGCTTTGAAAACTACACTTACAGTCTTTGATCCAAATTTCCATTGAGAACACTTTTTCTTCCGGGAAGAATTGAGTTGATCCCCAGGCCTTATATGTAGATGATAAAGTATAATACAAGATAATTTGGAAGCTAAAATAAAATGGATAAAATAAAAAAGGCTAAAAAAGTTTAATGGAACCATCTTAAAAGTCCATGCTGACGAAGTCGCGGGCAAAACCAAGTATAAAGAATTCTTCTTAAATAATAAATTTGCACTTAAAGCACTTTTTACACTTATTTAAACAAATATATACAACTTTACTATCAATTATCTTCCAGGGAAAAGTTTCACACTCACAATAACGGTATCGACAAATCCGCCACATATCGCCACCTACAACAAAGCGATCAAAGTGACTGTGGATGGACCGCGTGAGCCGCGCTCAAAGACCAGTAAGTATCCAGCGCAAGGAAAAAAAAATTTTTTTTTTAAATTAAACAATATACACACACAAGCACAAATAAAACACATATGCATACATACATACACAATGTAGCAGACACATGCATAAGTGTACTCCTGCAATTCCCTACCTTTCACCTCCGGCCAGTCTTTGCAAAGTATTTAATTTAGATGCCTGAACTAAACTATGTGACTGTAAAATGCAAAACAATAACAACAACAAAATGTATACAAAATGACAGCAACAATTTATTAGTTGCAAGATAGTGAAGCGTCGAACTCTACACACGCACTGTGCCGCACGAGTAATGCCCGCACTACCTACTTTATCTTGCTCGCACAAAGCATAGTCCTTTCGGCGCTCATCCTTTCTCGTTTATCTAATGAAACAATTCATCTTTAAGAATATTCATTAGCAAATCCCAGCAAACATATATGCAGCGCACTCTCGCACACATCCACAGTACCCAAAACATAAAGGAGCTATAAACTTCAGCAAATGAATAAATGCAATGTCTGTTTGCAATTTGCGGGCTGCGGGAATGCAGGAGTGCAGGAGTGCAGATGCAGTGAGTGTGAGATTGGTGAGCAGAGTTGGAATAGTATTTCGGCGCATGAAATATGCCTTTGCTGGCATACGATGGTCGTTGAAGGCTCCATTTTGCAAACAAGCCTGCCTCGTTGCGACCTTTCGCTCGTCCGCTCGTCCGCTTGTCCACACACAAAAGGTCCTTGCATTCATTCGCTCATTCATTCATTCATTCTCATGTCCATTTACTAAATATTTATAAGCATGCAAATATTTTACTTTGCATATGTTAAATGTAGACAATTTTAGACAGATGAGTTCTTACGAAGCAGCGTATTTATATATACATATATACTCTAGTTGGGTGTGAGAATATTCATTTGTAGTCAAGAGACACACACACTCACACACTCACCCGTAGTTTATTTGTTTAGGGCTTTCGGTAATAGTTTGCACCAACTTACTAACTCAAAAGTTGCTAGTAGTCAAGGACAAAAGGATTTTGCTAACTACTTTGCATACATTTATTTTAGTACGCATGTATGTGTGTATATGTGTATGTGTGTGCGCCTGCAAAATGAAATAGTTGCAACAATTGAATCCGCAAATGATTTATCTTTTTGACCAGCAAACGAGTAGAGTGAACTTTAGGGAAAGACATTAGTTTTCGGAGTTGCTTCTCATGGACACATACATTAGTTTTTACTTACATACATATCGACCCAGTACAAAATTTAACTCAGGGAGTTGACAGGTCCACAACTAATTAGAAAAGTGCGAAATAGTAACTAGTTCAATTTTGAATAGAGAGGGAAAATCAATAAAATAATATAATATATATTTATATACGCAATAAAACATTTTTTACTAACCGACTTGTTACTCCTACTCCTGCTCCTTCTCCTCTTCTCTATTTCCGAAATAATAAAATTTTCAAAATAATAATTTTTTTCAAAATAATAATTTTTGAAAATAAATTTTTTTCAAAATAAAATTTGCTCAAATTAAATTTTTTTTAATAGAATGAGGTTTTCAAAATAATAATATTTTTCAAAATATTAATTTTTTTTAATAGAAAAAAGTTTTCAAAATAATAATTTTTGAAAATAAAATTTTTTCAAAATAAAATTTGTTCAAATTAAATTTTTTTCAAAATCATTTTTTTTAATAGAATGAAGTTTTCAAAATAATAATATTTTTCAAAATATTAATTTTTTCAATAGAATATTGTTTGTTTTTAGAATGTAATTTTTAACAATTTTTTTCGAAATATTAATTTTTTCCAAAAAGAAAATTTCAAATATTTTTGAGTGTAAATTTTTTGAAGTGATATTATATATATATATTAAAAAAAATTAAGTTACAAACTAGTAATTTTTCGGCTCCGTTTGGTACTTTGTAAAATAAAAATGTATAGAAAGTAAATTAGCTCTGCATTAGTTCATAGAATTTTTTTTAAATAATAAATTTTCAAAGTAATAAATTTTTCAAATTATATTTTTTTTAAATAATAATTTTTTTTTTTTAAATAATGTTTTCAAAATATTATATTTTTTTAAGTAATATTTTTTTCAAAGCAATAATTTTTTCAAAATAACAATGTTTTCAAAATAATAATTCTTGTCCAAAATGAAAACTTCAAATTTGCAGTGTTTGGGTTTGATAGAAATTTTTTAAACTGATTTCCAATACATAAAATGAATTTAAAAAAATATTTATTAATTTTTTTTATTTGGTTCATCTGCGGAGCTTTTTGCACTAGTTTAGTAAAGTCTAGTTGCAAACTAGTAATTTTTAGGCCCAGTGTGATATGTTGTTGCCGCGTCTTTCTACACATATGCTTGCCTACACTTTCAGTTAGTTGCTTGTTGTTTGCTCCGAAAGTTGGGTGCAGCAATGGCAGCAGTTAAAACAATGGCATGTCCTTTTTGACCAGACGAAAGGTTATAATTTTATAATGAACAACGCCTGAGCACAGGAGTTGGATGGCTTGACAGTTTGCTATAATGGGCTAAGCTGTTAAATTAAGTAAAAGTTTAAAGTATATGAAGAATGATGATAAATATAACCAAATTCTACTAAAGAAGCAAGAGCTACCGACTTCCAAGAGTCATCTTGACACATTTTTAATGGCACCTCCTTATTCGTCTCTCACGTTCTCGATTTTTTATTCTGCTGGGCCTTTCCCTCCATTGAAGACAAATAACTCCAGTGGTCCTACCCTATACCAAGTAAATACCGACCGACCTGTACAATGTCAAAAAAAAGACAAAATTTATCTTAGATAAGTAAGACAGTATGCTTTTTGCAGTCGAAGCCACTTATGATCACACCAATTCTTGTCAAGGATATTAAAAATGTTTTGGCCAGTCAGGTGCTGACTTTCTCAAATACTATCGATAGTCTTCCCAGAATTATAGACCGTTAATCGATGCTTTGTGTTAGAGCCACTGGCCTTTCAGGATATCAACATCGTGCTCTCTTCTCTCTATGCAACGCTGCAACTGACATACACCACAAAAGAGAGTGGGAGATCGCTCGAAAACTCGCTTTAGTGGTTAGTGGGTTCAATTTTTATATACATATATGAGTATATAATAGTCTTTCTTTAACTGCTTCAACATTCGGGTTAATGATGAAACACAGACATTGTCATTTCGGATACAGTGCGCAAAAGACTGACTTTAAAGCTTGCCTGTGGCACGTGGCGCCGTCCTGTTGAAGCCACGCATCGGTCAAGTCATTCTTTTCAATATATGGCAACAAATTATATCTGATGACGACACGATAACGGCAGTTACTTTTTTGTTTTCAAAAAAAAAAAAAAAAAAAAAAAAAAAAAAAAAAATCCTGTTGATTTCACTTGAGTTTCATTGAAACATATGATTTCTCGAGAAAAATTTTTATATTTTGTAAAGCGATCTTCAGTCAGAGAGCTCCATGCAAAGCCATGCGCAAAGAACTACTGTTTAATTCCTTAGAAGTGCGTCGAATTGATGTCGATGGCTCTTCAACCACACTTTGAGCTGAAGAAGCAAGGACACATATGCGAGTTGTTTTGTTTGATATCATATCTATTTGGTGTTCTCCCGCCCAAATCGATCCACATATGGCCTGGAAGGTTAGTTATTTCACCTGAATTTTGTGCGTAACTTCCTTGCAGCTGCAAGCTGAAGAATCAACATTTTGGAAGCATATTTTTAATATTTACCAATTTTATTCTAACGTAAGCTTAGCCATTTCGTAAGCCGCGAATCTTGAACTCAAAACTTAGCAATATGAAACGGTAGATGGCGCATCCACCCTTGAGAAAGCTAAATAGTCCTCAGCTCTGTTGTGTTACTTGAAATCTATTACAGGCAAGAAAACAGAAATTTAAATTTTCCCAGCAGCTGAATTCCATTAAATTTCTTTACACCTCATTTTGAGGAAAACTCTAACCAAAAATTCACTCCATACAGTTTAAAAAAAAAAGAGTACCGTAAACGCTATTGAAAAAGGCTCTACGTAGAGCCCCTGTATGAAATTGACGCTCACTTGAGATCCAGTTCTCTATTTTATCTAATTTGATTTAGCTACACCAAATTCTCATTCACCGCACGCTCTCTCACTCACACTCACACCAAATGTACACAAAAACACTCAAAACTACTAATAAAATTCCTCCATAAATATATATGTATGTATTTCGAAAAAAAAATCAACTTTAGATAAGAACAGTTATTTTAAAACTTACAACAATTCAGTGTTGTCGCTTTTAGGACAACAACAACAGTTCCACTTCGCATTCGGACAACGACCGTTCCATTTCTCAGCCGATCCTTTGTCGGGATTCCGCATGCCACCAATTGGAAATTGTCAGAGTAAGTATGGAAATTATTGAATTTTTATAACAAATTAGAAAAAAAAGATTTAAACTATAAAGAAAATAAATAATGAAATAACTTTATAATTTATTTAAACAAGTTTATGCCGCCTTTAAAAATATTTACAACAATTCATTTTGAAGTGCTTCAACTAAGTGATGCTAATTAACAGAAAATACCTAGAGAGTCATGTTGAAGTACTAAGTTTTGTTCTAGATCATCTTCTTTTTTAAGTCGTAGTCTGTGTGTGGTCTAACAAAAAAAAAATCGAATTAACCCTGAAGAGTCAGAACAGCAACCGCTCAAAATTATCGTTAAAAATTGAGTCAAAAATTTATTATTATACACAGCCCCCCACAGAAATGAAAGTGCAGCAAATAAAATTATGAAAATAGTATTAGCCACTTTCATTAAAGAAATAAAAGTAAATTTTTCTTAATGCATTTTCATATAAAACAAATAAACTCTGAATGCACGTAAGAATAAAATCGAAATTCAATACATAAGCAGTACAAAGTCATGGAAATTGCAGTTATGACATTGTTTTCTATTCAAACGACACATTTTTCAGTATTTTGTAGGTTATTCTTTAGTTTTGATCAGTGATCTCAACCGTTTAGATATTGAATGCACCAATTTTTTGGTGAGTTCGCTGTCAATGTTGCTTCACTCCTCTAGCATCACCTTTTTAAGCTGCGCTTGCTTGAAATCGTTCTTTTTCTGATTTTAATCTCAAGCTCATACCAAATGAGGGTTTAAATCAGAGCTTTGAGGTTATGTGCATCATATAGCAACCCTATATAAGCTTTGTGAGCACTGTGCTTAGGATCATTGTCATGGTGAAACAATAAGACCCACTGTGTTTCTGTCTGTTTCTGTTGCTTCATATTATTTCGTAGAATATCTAAATATGAATTTTTGTTCATACTATTTTTGACAAAAACAAGGTTTCTAAAACCCAAACAAAGCCCTCTCCCTCCCCCCGCTGGCATGCATCCGCAAACAATAACTTCACCGCCTCCATGTTTGATGGTTTTGAACGCATTCTTTGGGTTTCCTACTCTGCTCCAGACCATTTTATGTCCCTTTCAAATATGCAAAACCTAGACTCATCTGAGAACAAAATTATATCCCAAAATTACATATCCTTTTCACAATACATTCGCCAAATGTAATGATTCTTTATTTGTAGAACTCACAAGTGGCTTTTACCTTGGCATTCGACTTAAGAAGTCATTCTCTATGACTGCTTTTCGCACAGTTTCTGCACTTACTTTTTTTTTTTGTTTTGTCGTAAATAGCAATTTCATCACTGATTTTTCTGTAGCTTGTTTCTCTTTTCACTTTCATTCAGTTTGGGCAGACGGCCAGTTCTGGGTGCATCATCAACTCTATTTACTCTGTTATACGCTTAACCCCTTTCTGAATTGATGTAGATTAATTATGATTTCCCTTATTCTAATTGCCAGCTCTCTTTGAACCAAAATTTCATTTATTTTTATTCGATTTTGACACCAAAAAAGCAATCAAAGAGCTCGAATACTAGACTAAAAAACCTCTGTAATTTGCAGTAATAATATTGAATTGTGGTATTCCCCTTTTAACTAACAACAGTCTATTTAAATCCACTTTTGTGAAACCTTTCTTTCATCTTCTTTCTGATCACGGTTATCAAAATTTTAAATTTTATAAAAATTAAAAAGTACTTTTACAAGTCATAACACCATTTTCATTATTTAGCGATTTGAAGAAAAACAAATACAAACAAAACAATACAATTCACAGACTCTAATACGGGTAATAAAGGTATCCTAGGTATCGTGATAGCTTTAGTTTTGTGGTAGACTTGGTAGTTTTCCTCACTTTAATTGAATTAAGTGCTCTCTAAGTTTACTTGGCCAAGTTATACTCATAATATTGAATTAAGTAACTTACATTTCATTACCTGAAAAGCCTGGGCTTAAAATAAAACACAAGAATTCGTGGTTTACAATGAAGTTTTGTTGCATAAAGAATAGAAGGCCAAGAACTTTTAGGACTTGCAGGAAAAGTGGCTTACACTTACATTACTTAAAATACTCGTCTCTTCGTCAAATATTTCTTTAACATAACAACATCCAAAAGTTATGGAAAACTAATTTCGATACAAAATTAAGTTAAATTTTTAAATTGTAGTCGCCCCTCGGCAGGGAATGTCAACCTCACCGAGTGGATTTCGAAAGGAAAAAACCGCCAGCCGTTCGGAGACGGCTTAAAGTAAATTGCGGGTCCCTTCACATCATACCCTTAACCCTAGAATTTTAGACTCAAACTTCTGCATTTTTCCAGGTTTAGTTGCGCAGCTCATACTGCACAGTTGAATATCATTCATCCAGTTGGCTCAATAGTTGCACCGAAACTGAGAAAAGAATTTGTGTTAAAGCCAATATATGCTAGTTTCTTTTAATTTCATATGCATGGAATATTTGGCATCTATGTAGTTTGCCAAGTGAGCATATTTCTAAGTGTATACCGAGGTATGTTACATCCTTTGCTTGGGGAATAACCCACCCATTTAAGCTCATATCAGGACATGTTTATGAGCGTAATGCAAATGTGAGGTGTTTACACTTTTGGTAATTGGCTTCAATTCTACAGTTTGTCTGTCATTATTCAATGAAAAGAAAATGGCCAATCTCTCCCTTTCGTTGCTTTTTTAGGACAGTTATTATGGCATAATATGGCTGCGTCAACTGAAAAATTGGATGTTTGTACTATACGGTTTACTGGGATATCTGCAGTGCTTATAGTGTATAATATCGATCAACGAATGCTACCTTTAAAACATCAGTTTTTAATGCGAACTCCGCAGTAAAAATTTCCAATTGTTATTGTTATATATTAGAATGCTTCGTAGACAGGATAGACGAAATTTGTTAAATTATGTACAATGGAACTTTATGCCAAACCTGTTCGCAGGTTTGTGCTTCGTCAAGAAATATAGCAATACTATTTGAACTTGAATGTCTTTCGAGTTTCATTAGTAATTCGGTTGAACTGGTATTCTGGTGTCACTTAGTTTCGACGGAAGGAAGGTCATATCTTAGTAAGAGGAGGACGCTTATAGGTTTGTAAGAAGATGCCTGTGTTTGGTCTTTACCTTTACAAACAATATGACTATAACACATATATGAAGAACTGCACTCTTCCCCTTCTAAAATCTTGGACTTCTGCATATTTAAAGATGCTATTGGCGAGAGATGTGGCCTAAAGCTAATAATTTGCTGCTAGATTTTCGTATTGTTTCAGTAGCAGCAACAAGACGCCCTTGTAGAGGTTTTGTCTAGTGACCTAAAATCCCAGAATTTGATAAATAAAATTCAAAGATGTGCCTTAATGGGCATCAATGGAGGACGTCAAATGAAACTCCAAATGAAGTACTCAATTTCTTTCGACAGCAATGACTGCACTATGATTACTGTTCCATTGTTATTCAGATGCTCAGAAATATAGACATACTTTCATTACAAGCTACACAGATATTGGAATAAACACGGCTGGATCAAAACTGGAGTGTGAAGTCGAAGTGGTGTCTTCACACGAAACCCACTCATGGAACTATTCTTTAGTCTCCCTGACCTGTGGGGGCACGAAATATATCAAAGCCTGTTTTAAAGATTTGGTTATATGTATTTTTGCCGATTGATTCTTCAAAAGATATACTGCAGAAGAGAATCTATCAAAGCAGAGAGCCTCTTTGGTTTTCCCTATAGTTTTCGCTAATCCTTAGGTTCCACATCTGGACGCTCCTCTTCTTCAGTGCATAAATTTGCATCTTCCGAAGATATACATACATTCAGAGATGATATGTTCAAACAGGGTGGACTCACCTGAATAATCGTAGAGCATTTTTTTTTCGGCGCCATAGGCAAGTATAGGTTTCTTACTGAAAATTTTGCCTCTTAGGTGTACACATTTGTATATTCCAGGGTTATAATTCACCATTGGATTATAACGCAAATGTACAATATAATAAACACGTGATAAAGAAGGGGTTCTGTTATTTACCGATGTGATCTTAGTAATTCGGCTCCCGTTTCATTGTTGACAGTCATAACAACGAGGTTGTAGACAACTTCGTCTCTCTTGGAACCAGTGTTAAAACCAATAAAAATGTATGTGAGACTCGGAATCCAACACAGAACTGCTCTTGTCAACAGGTGCTGCTTTGGACTGAACGGCAAACAAAAACCAAACTCTACAAGTCGCTCATCGTACCCGTTCTGCTATACAGACCACATCAGATGAGTCAGCGTAAGCAGTTTTCTAAAGATTTATGGTCTACTGCGAGAAAATGGCAAGCACCACAACGCTGGCTGGATGATGTTGTCCGAATGGTTGAAAGCACTGCAGCTTTGAAAGTATTCTATGCAGTACTCGCTGATGGAAGCAGAGGAAGTGGAAGCCCACCACTCCGTTGGAAGGATCAGGTGGAGTGTTAGCTGGCTTCACTTGGTATTTCCAACTGGCGCCAAATAGCGAAGAGAAGAAACGAATGGCGCCTTTGTTGATTAGGCTATAATTGCGTAAGCGGTACTTACGACAATGAAGAAGAAGATTTCTGTAATTAAAGCCGTTTTCTGCAAAATTTCGACACACAATCAATGGAACTTGAAATGGCAAAAGAAAAAATGCCAACACTTTGTGTGCAGAGCATAATAACGGTTTTTTTCATACAAATATCATCGTTAACAAACCGACAGTTGTTCTTAATTTTTTTTTTTAATTTTTTTTAATTTTTTCTTAATTTTTTTTTTTTTTGGAATAAATAGTATTTAACGCGTGAAAGGATTAAATAGGAGTCCTTTAACAAAGTCATCACCATTTGGTATTTTTTATTTAGTTATTTTTTCTGTAGGCAAAGTGCTACTTTTCTTCTGAGTAGACACTGCCTGAAGACTTCGATTAACTCTTAAACCGATTAACTTAGAATCACCTTATTAAAGCTCTCACCAGTA